TATATATATATATATCAACCTAGTTTTATATCCCTCACCCTCAACGAGTGTCTATCTCAATATATCAACTAAGTGTATGAAAATTCAAGTATACGTATCGGTTCGAAATTGTGTATCTCAAATATATATTCAATTTACTTTTTTTTGTTTCGTATATATTGCAATTCCATGTTCTCAGCCTGACACCTACTCTTCTTTTGTAGCACACCATTCGTACCAGCGGTATTCATAGCAAGGTACTATTTGTCAATGATTTGGCGACGATCAGAGAGGTTTGTGCAGCTCTCAAAGGCGCGCGCGTAGTGGCTTATGATGTCGAGTACGTGGAGCGAGGAATCGCAGGTTGTGCCGTTACTAAGCAAAGTAAGTACCTCATCTATAGCTTTTGAAGCTCTGTACATGTCATTATATAGCAATCTATCTGCCACACATTTATGATGCCGTCTATGTGTATGGTTACTAAAGCATCTTATTTCATATGTAGATGCCAGGCAGTTTTTGGTCGGAGTATCCGGCTGTTATATAGGAGTGTGTTTGTAATGTTGGCTTTTTTGGGTTTGCCTTCAAAGCTGCTCTTCTACTCGAAATGTGCTTACCTATTCTGGTTTGAATACTTATCCCCGCTATTCGAGGAATGTATCTTTGTATTTATACAATTGTTCTATATATACCTTCCCATCCGATACTTAAAAGTCTAGTTATAGGTACCTAGTCTCCATCTACTCACCACGTCAGCCTTTATTTACACCCTGTTCTGTATATACCTTCCCATCTGATACTGAATGTCTAGTTATGACTACCCAGTCTCTACCTACCCACCTCGCTTGGTCTGTTCACAGGCTTTGTATATGCTTTCCATCTGAGTCTTATATCCTACTTCTCCAACCCTCTCATCCCCATATGTCTGACGAACACATCTTCCAGGCATATGCTCGGAATGTCCGTACAACGCACCTTCAACACTACAGATAGCCACACTAAACACTCTCACACAGCAACTGCGCATGTTCGTTGTGGATCTGCTGGCAGTGCATCTCCCTACGAGGGCGCCGGATGATACATGCAGGTAAGTCCCATACCACGCCACACCTGTATTATATCACGTGCATTTTATAAGGGTACGCATGTGAAAGTACTTGCTTCTAGCTACATTGCTGAGGTTGTATTTTCTACTTGTATATATGCATATATATTGTGATCCGGCCTGGTGCCGTACCGAACTGAGACTAAGGGCTTAGGCTAGGTCTCGGAAGTTGCTAGGACTTAGATTTTAGAATCTAGGGTTCAAGTTTTACAAGGCCTGGTCGCGTGGTCTCAAATTTCTGAGGCCACTGGAAGTGTCAAAAACTACAAACATGGTGAACACTTTTCCGTAGGGTTTCGCCAGTAAACCTTCTACGTTACCATTCTTCAAATAAAGAAGTATCCCATTCAGTATACTGGCTATGGTCAATAGTTGATTCACATTCGAAGAATGATAAGACATGAGGTCTACTTATTTCTACTAAGCATCTAACGTTATATTTTTGGGGATATATATATACATACACACACAAACATATATATATCTATCTATCTATCTATCTATCTATCTATCTATCTATCTTTACTATCTATCTATCTAT